GGGGCGGGTGCGGGCGGGTCTTAGTGTCTACCCGCACCCGCACCCGCACCCGTAGTTAAGAATCGGGCTTCACCCGCACCCGCACCCGCACCCAATTAAATCGGATTTCCCCCGTTAATTTTGGGGCGGGCCCGGGCGGGTGTGGACGGGCCCGGGTTTGTTTGCCATCCGTACTTTCTAGCAAACAATGTAGGACGTGCTCGGAGTCCGAGAATGCATTTTTAAAAAAAAAATTTATTCTCATAAATATTGGTTGTTTTATTCAAGTCTTATATATAATTTTGAGATGGTTTAAGATATATATATATATATATATATATATATATATATATATATATATATATATATATATATATATATATATATATATATATATATATATATATATATATATATATATATATATATATATATATATATATATATATATATATATATATATATATATATATATATATATATATATATATATATATATATATATATATATATATATATATATATATATATATATATATATATATATATATCATATTAGTAATAAATTAAATTTATGACACATAAATAAAGAACCGTCGGGGTGGCTAACCCTTGACGATGACCACGGAGTGACCAGATGATGTTCGGGGTCTTCGGTTGTTGCCTTTTGCCTGGATTTTGAGTTGAGCGTACTTCACGCTTTAAAATGCCTTCCTTTGTTGGACGAGGTATTGGGGTGCACCCTTTTGCATTTGCTTGCAGACATGTATTCGGACGGTTGCCCATCTTGGGAACGTAGCTTGGCATCGACCGCTGAGGTGTTTTGCTTCTCAGGGTAGGAGAAATTCCTTGAGATGAGAACTCTTGGATCCGAGCCTTTCCTTTGAAATGATATGGCCAACCGACGACCGAAGGGAGTCGTAGAGATTCGAGGTGCCTTCGGGAGACAATATCACACGGGAAATGTTGCTTATGAGTATCCTCATCTAGACCCCGACCTTGGTGGTATCTTTGTGCTCCCCCGAGAGTCCATATTTAAGTTCAGACGCCTCTATCCCTTAATAGATCCCCCCGTGTCGACCTTTATGGAAAGGATTAGACTAAGCAATAAGGGAAACACCGTATTCTTTTAGAGGAAGGCCCATCAACGGTTTGGAAATCCTTTGGTACTAACTAGAGGCATTTTTGTATTGGACCCGCGCCCAACATTAACTATGAACTTTTGGTATCTTCTGACATCGCTCCTATAATCACCCCAACAATGGTGGAAGTACGTGCACACTCAGGTTAGACGGTGGATTGTGAGGTTCAGCCCAACTTTTATGGAAATTTCCTTCAGACCCCAGTGCAAACCTAGATCTGTATCTGAAATCTTTTTCCTCCTCTATTTCGCAATGTTCTTGAGAAAATCAGAGATCTTGACGATGAAATTCGTGGCTAAGCAGACGATCTGCCGAACTGACTATGGTGGATCTCAGGTTTCGCTTTTGAGCATTCTTGACTCTAAGATCTGAAGAGGTTATGAAATGGTAAACTATATATTTGGGTCTGAACCGCAAGCTCCATATTCGAAACTTCTAAGTTTTTTTGATGATGTTTGCGAAACGAACGTGATTCTCATGGAAATAGCAGGAATCAGAAGTAGATACCACTGGTGGTGCCACTACTTAGGAATAAGAGATTGATGTCCCAACTTCACGAAGGAACCATAAATGATGGAAGGTGGATAACTGTTGATATTGGATAATGGCTCTAATCTTCTTTACAACGACGTTTGGTGGACCTGCATGGTTAACACTCTCACACCCAAGTCGGTTCAAGATTCAAGGCAAGTAAAGTGAAATTGGAGATCAGAGATTGTGTACCTTCTCATGGCAAGTGAACTGCTTTATATATTGGATCGATTAAATTGGGCTTTTGAGATGGATTAAGCCTTAGTCAATTATGCCTTATGGTTGATCTAGAACAAAACCTATGAAAATCGAGGTGGTTTGGTTTGGTTATCAGTTTTAGTTTTTAGGAATTGTCAAATCGGTGAACCGAATCGATGGTTATAGTTACCAACTTAATATTTTATTCAGCTTATTAATCTCAAATTTTGCCCTGACCCAACCTTTTTCATCTTTGTTTAGACTTTCTTCCTTTAAGCAAAGCACGTAGCCGACATCCATACTCCAAACATAGAAAGTAGAATCCTAAGCCACAAAAACTTGGTTTCACCAAATTGTTACTCACACTGACTGTCACCATTGTTGCTCTCGCTACTTTCGTTCTGCTCTATTTTACTCGCCTTCATTGTATTTCAAGTTCTCTTATCTTAAACAAAATTTCTTTTAATTTTATTATAAAATAATTTTAATGTGTGTTTGAGATGTGAAACATGTTAATTTTCGTGCAATACAACCTTTTATTTTTATTGTTGAGTTTTATTTATTAAGCTTTTAGTCTACTACCAACATTTTGATTGTAAAAACTTAATTTTTTAAGAAAATTTATTAAACTTTATTTTATTTTTACTCCTTCCTTCATCCACACCACTTGTTATGGAAAATTTAATTTTTTAAAATAAAAAATAGTTATTTATTTATGTTGCTTTACTTTCTTTGTGGTTAACAAATCTAGACCTGCCTAGTTATTTATACATTTATGACAATTATTTTTAAATAATAAAAAGATTAATGTTATATATTCTAATTATGTGTTTATTTCAACTTGTTTTAGGAAGGTGAATGGGTGATTCAAGTAGGAAAGAAATTGAAATTGTGAAATAATGAATTTGGCTTGTATTTTGGAATGACAAAATTAATCTTTCCATTTAAAAAAATGAATGTAAAAAATTTTGTAATATTTTAAAAAATGATTTTATAAAATCAAGTTTTAAAAATTAAAAAAAAAATTATTTTTCTTAAAAGTTGAAACAAACATGCTCTTTGTATTTGATATGATGATAAATTTATTTTGATTGTATTTTTATTTGATATGATTGTGGAATTATTTTTGTATGTGAAGATTGGGTCGTTATTGAAAACTTGGAAGCTCTAAAATGGATCTCAATAAAAAGAAAGATATATATTTTTTAAAATAATACATTTAAATAATAAAAATGTAAATATCGCGAATCGAATCATTGACATTTGAATGAAAATAACATTTGAATGAAAAAAACTTCTTTACCGTTATGTTAAATAGCATATATTATAATTAAACTTATTAACTAATATTTATATATTTATTTCATGTTTATAATTTATAAAAAATAATTTTAAGATTCCTATTTTTTTTTGGAGGTTTTAGGCCGTGGGTTTCCTTGCCTGAGCCCAAGATCAGCCCTAATAAAGATAAATATATTTTGATTTTATTATTGAGTGTCAAGTGACAACTTTTATATTTAATAATAATAAACTTATCTATGATGTAATAAAAATTGTGTAACTATTTTATATAAATTAAGTTCAACTAATAAAGTATTTCAAAATAGAGCATATAATACATGAAATAGATTACAAGACAGGTATTATTTGAAATAATAATGACAAAAAATCCATATTTTAAAAATATGATAGCAGAGAATACATAAAAAGAAATATAATTTTTAAAAGTAAGTGTTAAAATCAATCAATTGAACATAATTCGATTCTATTTTTATAAACACTACAAACTAAATCAAATCAATGAAAACATATTCGATCAATTTTTTATTTTACCAAGAATTGATACAAATTGAAATGGTTAGAACTTTGTATTGTATTCTGAGTTTCAAAGTTTTATTTACAAAAAAATATAATATACTCTTTAATATTTAATATTTTTTATTTAAAATTTTTAATTTCTTATATATTAATAATTAATGAATGATAAGGTTGTAAAATATTTTATAATTTATATTTTTACATGTATTAATTATATTTTAAAATTTATGTGAATTTATCAAAATAAAAAATAATTTAGAATTGGTATCAGTTTTCTAAATATATTTTTTTAAAATTTTAAATTAAATTAATTGAAACAACTTTTTACAAACTGCTATTTTAGATAAAAATAAAACAACTACCATTTAAAAATTATTTACTTTAAAGTTATTTAAAATAATTTGTAATAAAAAAATAAGTATTTGGTATATAATATTTAAATTTTATATATTTTTGATTATGTTAAATTACTTAATAGCAACTATTAAATGATTTGATGTTAACTGTTTTTAACTTATAGAAATAATTGACTATATTTATAGTATTTTATAACAAAATATCAAATAAATCATTTTAAAAATCGAACAAAATTACAAATACTAAAGAAATTAAAAAATAATATTAAAATAAAAAACAAATAAATATAACCAACTGTTTAATAAAGAAGAAAAGTAAAAAAAAAACAGAAATCATAAAGATAGTAAGTAGGTCTTTAAAATCTTTTTAATTTAATCCCTTAGTATCATCATTTTTTATATCTTATAAATTAACTTTAAAATATGAATATCTTAGAAAAAATAAACTAATGATTTTATTCTATTTTTCTCTTGTTGCCGTAAAGCCCACGTGATCCTATGAATTCGCATTGAATACAGATTTTATACTTATCCCTCTCCTATCAACCGGCTATACCCAGTCACCTTTTCAAATCGTAACTCAATTCACTCTTCTCAAAACCGAAGAATAGCGTAACGTCAAGGGTCGGTTACAGTTATTACTCGGTAGTCGGTACTACAATCCTCGTCAGATAAGATCAAATCTAAACCGTCCGATTAAATCCTCTCCCCCCAATATAGAAAAAACCGGTTCACTTTCGTTCTTATCCGCAGTCACAAAAAAAAAGTCTATTTATTTTATTTTAATTTTAATTTATATATTTTTTCTCTCTCAAAATCATAAACTTCACTAACACACGCTCCTCTCTTATGGAATTTCATTCACTATCTTCAAATTTTCATTACTCAACGATTCTTCATCTTTCTTCACACAAACATTAACACAAACACATAAACTGCATATTTTTTCTCTCTTTTTCTTCTTCTTTTTTCAACAATGCTTTCAAGATCTTGTTTAGGTTTATTAAATCACGTAACAACCAACGATTACATAGAAGAATCCACCACTGTTCAGAAAATGATAACCACGGTGACCGGAGAAGATGAACTCAAGTTTCAACAAGATAGCGTTTCGCTTTCATCGTCGCGCGAACGGAGAATGATAATAGTAGCAAATCAGTTACCGATACGCGTTGTTAAAGGTTCTAAGGAGGAGGATGAGAAGAAGATGAAATTTGAATGGGATGTTGATAGTATATCGTTTCAGCTCAAGGATGGTTTTTCTGAAAAAGTTGAGGTTTTGTACGTTGGGTCTTTGAAAGCAGAGGTTGATCAATCGGAACAAGAGGAGGTTGCTCAGGTTTTGTTTGACAAGTTTCGTTGCGTTCCGACTTTTTTACCTTCGGAGATTCATAATAAATTCTACCATGGTTTTTGTAAGCATTATCTATGGCCTTTGTTTCACTATATGCTTCCTGTGTCGAAGAGTCAAGGTGCTCGGTTTGATCGTTCTCAGTGGCTTGCTTATGTGTCTGCGAACAGGATTTTTGCTGATAAGGTTACTGAGGTTATTAACCCTGATGAGGATTATGTTTGGGTTCATGATTATCATCTTATGATTTTGCCGACTTTCTTGAGGAAGAGGTGTCCTAGAGTGAAATTGGGTTTTTTTCTTCATAATACCTTTCCTACTTCGGAAATTTATAGAACATTACCTGTTCGTGAGGAGATTCTGAGGGGTTTTTTGAACTGTGATTTGATTGGGTTTCATACTTTTGATTATGCTAGACATTTTTTGTCTTGTTGTAGTAGGATGTTGGGTTTGGATTATGAGTCTAAACGAGGTTACATTGGACTTGATTACTTTGGGAGAAATGTTACCATCAAGATTTTACCGGCTGGGATTCATATGGGTCTTCTTGAGTCTGTGTTGTCGATGCCTTATACGGCTACAAGGGTTAAGGAGTTGAAGGAAGAGTTTGAAGGGAAGGTTGTGATTTTGGGGGTTGATGACATGGATTTGTTCAAAGGTATTGGGTTGAAGTTTTTGGCATTGGGGAAGCTTTTGGAGGTGAATGAAAAAGCAAGGGGTAGAGTTGTTTTGGTTCAGATTTTGAATCAAGCGAGGAGTAGAGGAAAAGATATTCAGGACTTGAAGTTTGAGATTGAAGCCATTGCTAAAGAGATAAATGATAAATATGGTGATAAACAATCTGGGTATAGGCCTATTGTTTGCGTAAATGGACCCGTTTCAACTCAGGAGAAGGCTGCATACTATGCTATATCAGAATGTTGTATTGTAAATGCTGTGAGGGATGGGATGAATTTGATGCCTTATGAGTATACTGTTTGCAGACAAGGAAGTGTTGAATTGGATAAAGCATTGGGGCTGGAAAACGATGAGGCTAAAAAGAGTGTTATCATTGTTTCTGAGTTCATTGGTTGTTCTCCTTCGCTCAGCTGTGCAATTCGGGTGAATCCGTGGAACATTGATGATGTTTGTGAAGCAATGAACTCGGCAATTAGAATGGTGGATACTGAGAAGCAATTGAGACATGAGAAGAATTATAAGTATATAAGCTCTCATGATGTAGCTTATTGGGCTAAGAGTTTTGATCAAGATTTAGAGAGAGCTTGTAGGGAGCATTATCTGAAGAAGTGGTTGGATGTTGGATTGGGACTTAATTTTAGAATCATTGCTTTGGATCCTAGTTTTAAGAAGCTTTCTGTTGATTACATTGTCCCTGCTTATAGAGATGCAAAGAGTAGGTTGATCCTTTTGGATTATGATGGTACCATGATGCCTCAGGGATCACTAGATAAAACCCCTAGCTTGGATGTTATCTCTCTCTTGAATGGCTTATGCAGTGATCCCAAAAATGTAGTTTTCATTGTTAGTGGCAGGGATAGAGAATGCCTTAGCAAGTGGTTTTCTCCTTGTGACAAACTTGGTCTCTCTGCAGAACATGGTTACTTTACTAGGTAACATTATTCAATTGAATTTACGGTTCATTCATCAATGCTGCATGATCTCACTGTGTTTATTATTTGTTGATCCATTTTGTTTTGGATTCCTTTTTGAATGATTGCAGATGGAGCAAGGATTCTCCTTGGAGAACTTGTGGATTGGCATCAGATTTCGATTGGAAAAATACTGTAGAACCAGTGATGGCGCTTTATACAGAAGCAACTGATGGTTCCTTCATTGAAAAAAAGGAAAGCGCAATGGTTTGGCAACATCAAGAAGCAGATCCCGATTTCGGATCGTGGCAGGCTAAAGAGCTTCTTGATCACCTGGAGAGCGTGTTAGCGAATGAACCTGTAGTAGTTAAAAGGGGACAACATATTGTGGAAGTAAAGCCTCAGGTATCATAAACAAACCATACTCTTTTATATCTTTTCACATTTTAATTCATATACATTGTAATGTACATTGTGATAGGAAGATAATCAACAACATTTGACAGTCATAAAAGTGATTGTGATTTGTTAGTATTTTGCACTTGAAATGTATCCAAATTAACTGTTTTTTTTTTGTAACGTTTGTGTTTTTGTGAGATGCAGGGTGTGAACAAAGGTATAGTGGTGGAAGAGCTTATATCAACCATGAGGAATGAAGAGAAGTCCCCAGATTTTCTCCTATGCATAGGAGATGATAGATCAGACGAAGATATGTTTGAAAGCATTGCTAATTTAGCTTTACCAACCATATCACAAGTATTTCCATGCACGGTCGGTCAGAAGCCGAGTAGGGCCAAATACTATTTGGACGATACTCCGGATGTTATCACGCTGCTCGAAGGACTTCTGCGGCATCAGCAGATTAAGCACATTGTAGAATGAAATCTCTATACAGAAAAACAATCTTGTACAGAATGATAGATACCTTGTTTATAGGTTCATTTGGGAAGGAAAAAACAAGGTCAATCAATACTTTAGAATTTTACAGATTATCTAGTTTACTATTTATGTAACTAGCACCAAAATTTCTTTTTATGTATTATGACAAGGAATGAATACAGGTTTATGCTTTTGTGAAAAGAACCTAACAACAATATTTTATGAGTATGATGAGTCTTCACTTTTCAGTTAACAATGTTCATTGATTATGATTTATTTTTTTGGATAAAATTCATGATAATGATCTTAAATCAAATTGGGTGGGTGGATGCTGTATTGGCTCTAGCTGTCATTTTTCATATCCAGAATATAATAAATTTATTATTTTTTGTTGACTGTTGTAGAAGCTTTCTTGGCCAGGGAGAAAACTGAAACTATCAAAGCTTAATGTATTTTATAGAAGAAATAAAAACGTGCCTTTTGAATTGTAAATAATAAATGAAAGGCACAAACAATTGAAACAAGCATTATATGATGTGGTTCAGAGCACGTTGGTGGAGTTCAGAAAAAGCTGGTATTAGTACTAGATGTTGAAAACCAGGCTGGCAAATTTATGTTCCAATGCAAAAAAAAAGTTAGAAAAATTCATAACTCAAGTCACAGATTTTAGTGTTGAACAGTCAATTTTCTAGATTTACTCACATTGACTTGTGAATGTTTTAAGAACAAGTTTCACCAACATCAACAAGAACAAGAAATCAATAGCTGGATGTTGTTCTATTGATTCCACCTTGTGTCGGTAGAAACATCAAATGCTGTTTCCCAACTACTTGCTCAAAATTTTCCAAGTGGCTGGCTCAAAGTACAATTCAATTTTTTTTTTCATGTATTGGAGTGGTTGATACTTGATCCTACCTAAAAGCTATTTTTTGTTGAACAACTTAAGTTTAAAGGGTTCATTGAGTTACTTCAAATTTAAATGATCCAGTAACATTTTTATGCACAAAGAAAAGGGCTTAGTTGGAATTCAAATTTTGCACTTATTTATGTCATGAAAAGGGATGGATCATAGCTTAAGCAGCTTCCATTTTGTTGACATTTGGCAGAACTAATTGGACTGGCCTTATCCTTGTGAAGCATGCTTGGGTAAGGTTGGGATCACTTTGTGACAATGACAACAAGCTTCCTTAAACATGTAGTTGAAAGTTACAACTACTATGTTGGATTTGAAATCTTGTTCCTTATTTTAGGAAATATAATCGACCACTATTATTTATGGTCCAAAAAAGATCACAAGTTTCATCTGTAGTTGTAAGGTCAATTGAATTTAGGGGACTTGTAAAATTTAATGACAAGTACCTCTATAAATTGCAAAATAAATACTCCTTAGGTTATTACTCTTAGATTTCTTAGATAACTTTCAATTTAAAAAATGTTTTTGGCGCAACCGCGAAAAAATGGTGTTTGTAACCGCACATCAAAGAAGTTTTTTCTTCTCTTAATAACATAACATAACAATAGATAAAGACTTCGATGTCATGTTACTGACTCATTTTTGTTAAGTATTAACAAATGTGAGTAGTATGGATAATAGTCCCACATTAAATAGAAATGTGGTGACTTGAGCATTTATAAGTGAGAGAACTCATACACCTATCACCTTAAAGTTTTGGGTGAGTATATGGTGTGTCTCTCACAAAAGTCAATACTTAGTGAAAGAAAAAGTTCCATATTTGTGCAAAAGTCAACATTAACCACTCAATTATTCATTAATAAATTCAACGGCGTTGATTATGCCTAATCCACCTAAAATATGGTGCATTCTATAATTTGCCTCTTAATTAGATATTGGATAAACCATTAGTATTTGATAGTTGATGAAAACTGTGGTTAGGTTTATTGAAACGGGTGTGACAACAACTCTTTAAGAAATTGAAGATGAGGATATTATTTTTACAAAAAAATTGTTTTAAAAAAATTATTTAAAAGTTAATTATATCATTTTTGATTAAAAAATAACCTCTTTTGATTTTTTAAACAATGCCCATTTTCAATTGTTTAGCTATAAGCTCTATATATTGTATGTACATATTAGATCCATAAGTTCAAAACCAAATGAATTAAAGTGTAATAAATAAGTAGTAGCTAGATAAAATGAAGAAGAAGAGAGTGATGAATCCAACCTAATATTGTTAACTTCTGAAATGGCAAAGATACAAGTCATTCATTTAAGACAAACTTAATTATGAATTGAAATTGAGTGAACAATGTTTATCCACGTTTTCTTACATGTATGTAGGTTTGTTGTTGCCTAATATAGTAGTGTCACACGTTTTCTAATGAATGCTATATATGGAAATAAAAATAAATTGTAGTAATGTTTACGACTTGATTCAACTACTTTTTGGGATAATTAAGATAGAGAGGATAAAATCTATATGGCAAAAAGTTATGACATGCCGTCTCAAAGTGGCCCTCTCTAGTTGAAAATATAACTAGGATCTTAGTTTGCTTGATGTTTAAGAATGCTACTTGATAGCAAAATCAAGAATGGATTTACAATGGTGGGAGCCATGACAAACTTTGCTTTGTCCTTTTCCAAGGGTCTTCTATGTACATTTCAATCAATATTAGCCTATTACTCCAATGTATTCTTTTTTTACTATTTAAAATAAGTTAGATTTGTTGGTATTGGTAAACAAAATGAAATCATTGATATTACACCTATTTTATTGGAAAGTAAATATGGTGGAAATTTTGGGAAAATTGTAGTAAATTAAAATTTTAAATTAACAATTGTTATTGAAAATAGGTTTAAACTTGACAATTTTATTAGTAGGAAATTTGGATCAAAGTTCAGAGATATTATTAAAAAAAAGACATTAAATTTATAGAGTTTAAATCAGATTAGTTAGTACTTCTGATTATTAAGATTGAATATTTTTTTTATTGGATTAATACCCTTCAAATATAGGTGATTTTACACTGAACTAGATTATCAATTCTTATATTATTTATATTATGCTTTTATTCTCTATGTTACGCATACTAATTATCATACACATCGTACTCTCCAGTGAAGTCGTATCCCTATGGGAAAGTCATGATATTTTTCTCTCTTGGGAAGTTAGAACTTTGAAGCAAGATTTGGTTTTACCATTAACTCTTCTTATCCCTCGATAGATGTATTGGTGCAAAGGCCCCGGGTATCCCCGTCGAGATGTTTATTTCATCTCATGTTTCCTCCTCTCATCTGTCTTGTCAACATATGCATGAGCCTAAGCATTGCATACTCATTGCATGACAGTTTCATACACATTAACATACACATTAGTATACACTTTGGCATACGCATTAGCATCTACATTGTTTTGTTATCCGTGTCATCCTTTGTTGTTACCGACGAGTAACTGGGTTGGTCCGCTCTCTCCAAGTAGACCGTCAGCCTTAAGCATAAAACCCTCGTGGACGATGGTTACTTTCGCGCTAGGATAAGGTAGTGCCCAGTCGAGTTCGTTTCCTCAACAGAGTCTTGTTTGTCGGTTCTTTCTAGCCCAATTCTAGATCGAACTTCGGTCCCGTCAGTCACCGAACATACCTGGACGTGCATTTATTTTGCACTATCTTTCAAGAAAAGCATCTACAATCCTTTGCAGATATGCGACAGTTCTAGCCTGAGAAGCTTATCACTACATTGCACAACGGACAAGCAACGAGTTCCCAGCCGAGGAGCTTATTACCTTCATTACAATTTACCTTGCAATTTTCATTACAACCTTCATTACAATTTACATTGCAACTTTCATTACAGCCTTCATTACAATCTTCATTACAATTTACATTACCTGTTACCACCTCTACAAGCAGTTTTCACCCGAGAAGCCTATCAATAAGCGGTATTTCTGGCCTGAGGAGCTTATCCTATCTTCGTTATGACTTGCAGCAAATGGCCATCTCCATCGAGCAGTTGGGATTCCATTTTCCTTTTCATTTTGAAGTGCGGGGAGGTTTGAGCTGAATCATATTCAAGAGAGCAAGAATCTTGAAGTATGAAAATGTTCATTTTATCCTTTAGTAAAAGAAGGAGCTGAATCATATTCAGGAGAGCTTGAATCTTGAAGTATGAAGAAGTTCATTTTATCCTTTAGCAAAAGAAGAAACCGAATCATGTCCAGGGAGCACAAACTTGAAGAAGTTTATTTTTATCAGTCAATCTATTATCCACAGATAAGCAACAGTCTCTTTATTTGAGAGCTTATCTAGTTTGGCATATAAGTCCCTTCCGACGATAAGTGGCAGTTCTCTCTCGAGAAAGCTTATCAGGGCATTTCCCATTTAAGACCATTTATGTTGGCATATAGCCAGTTTTACCCTGTATATTTTACGGATTCCTAAATTCTGTTTGATCCTGTCACGAGGCAGAATTTCCAGAAGCTCGGATTTATTCTTTGCTCAATACTCCAGCATTTTGTTAATCGATCCTACAGTCGTGCAGATCCAGTTTTACTTTTACCCTAGAGTATCAATCGGTCACGCCTGAACCTATTGAATGTTTACTCTTAGATATCCCCCAGTGGAGGCTGTCTCATCGGTGCCATCTCCATTGTGGATTCCGCCTTACCATTCCCTTTCTAAAAGTGACAATTGATCGTGTTCGCACCAGTTGACTATCACTTTAGAGTTCCCCGTGTCGTGCTGTTTCTCTAGTGCGTCGTGTTCCCTAGTGTGTTTGTTCGTCATCTCTGTCCCCTATGTCGTCGTGTCGTCTGCATCATCGCATTTATCATGCCATCATACGCGTCACACTAGATTCATGGCATTGTCGGTATTATAATTCATTTTGTTTTGTCCATAACATTGTATAGCACTGCATCTAAGGGCAAAATTTTTGGTTATCTATATTTAAATCCCTTTCACCATGATTTCTCGAGCTTTCGTCGCTCCAATCATCTGGCGAAGCTATTTGAATAGGGGCAACTGTAATACTCCAAAATTTGCCCTAA